TGCAGTCAGTCAGTGAGGGGTTCACTGCCTGTTGAGGAACTCGGGAAAACGAGGCTTCGTTGCTAACTTTACCAAACAAACCAGTCACGACGTGCATAATGCAATGAAAAAAGTAAAAAAATAAAAATAAAAAAACCAAACAGTTACCTCTCACATTGGTGTGGGTTGTGTTGCTGGACTATCAGGGAAGAACTTGATAAAACAGGAGCCTCTCTGCGGTGCACACTGACGAGCTTCTCTGACACAACTGGTGCGTCACATTAAAGCCACAGTTGGTTTGCCGGACAAAACACAAAGAATTAAATTACAAAAATAAATAAAAAGCCCAACTTGGCCCGCAGCCCCCTTTAAAACAAGGTTGTAGATACGAAGCAGAGAGCGGCCCGTTGCAGGAGCCAAACGCCGACAGACAGATACCCTCCCACCGCGCAGGGATGCCAAGTTCGCTTCGCTGATCTGATGTCGCGCGATGGAACTACTTTCTGTCCGATTGCGTTTCTGTGTTTGTCCGGGTCCAAGTCTCACTCAAAGATGGTGATTTAAAATCCACACTAATATCCCGGTCCGTTTCCGAGGCCGTTAAATGTAATAAAGTCCGCTGTGAAGAAGTGTTGTCTCACCGTTCAGACAGCGGCTCCATCCCACTCTGGGCTCTTTTCTGCTGATGACTCGCCAAGACGACCGACGGCTGCGTTTTCACACAGCAGACCTGCGTCAATGGCTTGGCGATGACCCGGATGACGGCGGAAACGAGCCACGCTTTCAAAATAAAACAAAAAATTACATTTCTCATACAAGGCGCCACAAAACTGTGGTTTTGGTCGACGTAACAAAGAACGAGTAGTGTTTGGTGCAAATATACAGYCGCGTATCTTAATAAATGAATAAATGAAAGTCGTTTTGTAACATTATTTAAAAGCTGGTTGATTAAACACAGTGAAAATTGCAACATAAGGATCATTGGGGTTTTTATTTTGACATGTCAAACCGGAAAAGGTATTATTATGGTGTTATGGACAAACATATACTTTATTTCATCAGATTGTTTTATTCAATTATATTTTGTTTATATTGTTTATTGTGTGACTGATAAATGTTGCATGCATTTTGCATCCATTATAATAGAATTTAGTTTATTTTCTTTTTTTTTTTCTTCATATAGTCCCTATGAAGTTGCCACAAACCCTGTTAGGGTTTGCATAAATGTCTTTTTTATTTTCACCTTCAATGTATTTGATGAARTGCCTTTTTTACTCACTATTTCCTCTCGTATTGATCCATATGTTGCATTGCAATAATAGCCACGGTGACAAATGCAATGCAAAAATCAGTACTGACCTATAGGCTGTAAACTGTGACTCAGCTCTGCAGTCATTTGCCACTACTATCAAGTGAAGCTGTTATCTAAGCTTCYCGTGTTTACAGAAGGATGATTTGCTCAGTGTTGCTGCAACTCAAACTGCTACTGAAACTGAACGATAAAGTGTTGCAAACAATGTTTTCATATCTAAGGCTGTGCTGTGTGTTGAGCAAGCAGAGACATAAACTGGGCTGTGACCTTGTTTAACATGACCCACTGAGGTAGCAGTGGAGCTTAAAAGAGTCATCCTATTTCAGCATRGAGCAAACCGTTCACTTTTTGCTCCTGGTTTTGTCTGAAAATGAGAGGATCGGGTGCGATTTGTGTGACATGATGGATTGAAGTTCCTTCTCTGGGCACGTACATGTTGCACGTAATCATTCTGCACTTTCCTTAAGGCACTGGAACCTTCCTGTATAAAATTGCACAACAAGAAGCAAGTTCTGACTGAARCAGCCTGAAAATTATACATTAAATTTAGGGAATGTACTGTAGTTCAGTGGTTCCCAAACTTTTTATCTT